TATGTGATTGTATGTATTCGTATTGTGTATTGAATTTAGAAAGTTTCTGTGTGTTTAACATATTATAGTTTGACTACAATGTAACCATGTTTGACTATTTTGCCATCTACTACTTCTAAATGTCCGACTAATGCTTAAAGAAAATTAATTATTTTACCTTTTAGTTTGTAAAGTTCTTAAATGAACATAAACTGCCTCACTTGGTAAAAAAAATTGGCGATCACAAGGTAAGCAATGCAAAGGGTTTGTCTTAAAATTCGAAAAATACATACTCTACTGTAATAATTTCAAAACAAATTAGATTTTACGATCAGAAGGAATTTTATAAAACTGTAGCAGTTAAGTACTAACAGCATAATTACTTAACTGAAATAAATGTAGCAAAACGTAGACTATTGTTTTAGGAATTTTGTTTTAATACAACTGGCATTGACATAACTTTGTGGACCCCTAAAATTAAGTTACTACATGAACAGTGATTTTCATCAGCCTCACTTAACATACTATTGTTCTTTGGCAACCAAGCCTACTGTAGTTGAGCGTACAAATTTTTTACAATATTTACAGGTGTGAACAGTGTAAATGTACCATTTATGTGCATTTATTGCAAATGCAATATTTACAGGTGTGAACAGCCTGTAATTGAGGAAATATATCAAAGATTGGTGTGTCCTCGATAAGACATGTTTTCTTTGCATAAACAACTTGTTTCCATGTTTTTTCCGCCACAATATTGCTCACCACGGTCCAATTCCAAAATGGACATTGAGCAAAGTCATACTCAATTTGAATTTGAATTACAGGTGCTACAACGTTTCCTCGTTCTATCAGACCCAGAATTTGAGAACAACCTATTCACCAGTACACCATCCGACTCACCATCCACCATATTGACTAACCCAATTTCGACTTCCACTCTCCCACAATCCACCCCACCTGTTGATACACCAACCAACACATCCCAAAGTCCTAGCACGATGGACACAAACCTCCACCCAAATCCAACCTACAAGTACCCCAATCCAGTCCCCAAATGCCACACTAACCTCAGCCAAAACCACCTTCACCCTAACATTGTCAGCCGACATGGGCCAACCCAGCAACATCCCAATCACTTCCCAACCAATCCCCCCCCCCCAACACACCAAATCACCACCATCACACCTCAACCACCTATCATGTCCACCAACACAAATAACACAACTACCATGTTCAATAAACTTGTTGAACTCAATCACCACAAGAATGACCATCAACAACAGTTGACCATTCTCAACAAACACATCACAAGCCACACCGCACATGCTGGCCTCAAAATCAGCATGGCATCCGGAACTGCATGTCCCACCTCAGACATCCTGCACCAACACCATTCAGAGGAATCATCCAAAACTGATGGGCAAATCTCATCACTTTCCACAAACCTAAACGACAATCTTCCACAGGAGTTGTCTAGCACAATCATCCATATCGCAAGTACTCACAAACCACCATCCAAATGCAAAACAACACCAAAGTCAAACACCAAAGCACCCCAAAACCACAGCAACCACTCACAACCAACCAATCACATCCCGCAAAACCTGAAAACAAGCAGGTTTCTCAAAATTGGCCCATCACCAACAACACAGGGAACCATCACCTGCCACCTCCAAACCACCATTACTAGTACCACCTCCACCCAGCAACACTACACCAGCCAACAACCAGAATACCAGCTCTAACCAGCATCATGCATTCCTCCATCAAGCAACGACTGCTGGGGAAACAAACACTGTTCCCCACCATATACAACATGTTCATGAATGGAAGACATTAGATTTTTCCGCCATTAACAACCACCACCAATTCAATGTAAATAGTCTAGGCCTGTACATATGATAATCCACACACTTCATATAGTTTAAATTTTAATACACATTTGTCAAATAAAGATATGTAGTTACAGAAAATTCATTAAATTCATGAACATTATAAAATTGTACAGTTGTTTAATTCATACATACCACTCTAAACCCAGACCTAAAACCCACCAGATCAAAAATGTCTGTTGTGGGCTCAGCAACAGAGCAAATATCAATACATTAATATCAGTCTCAACCACCTTCACTGTTTTATACAAATACCAAGAAATATTAAACTGACAGACAAATTTCATGGCAGGAAACTTTTTGTCACAAACTGTGCCACAGAGCATTCACAATATTACTCACCACCATCACATCCATTTCGAACTACCATTAACCTTTCGAAAAATGAGAAGTAGACGGAAGACAAATTTTGTGTGAAGGTATCATCAATACATCAATATATCCTTTGCTATACATTGAAACAACTTTCAATAATATTTTCAACCCATGTTTCCACTTTCATCAGGGATACATTCACACAAAATCGATACACCCAACCCACTCGAAACATTGCAGGCCAACATCCCTATTCAACACAATTCAATCCACTATTCTGAGCAGTAATCCCAACCTAACCCAATCCCCACCGGAACCTTAACCCAAAACCTTATAATCCAATGGGAACATAACCTTAGTTTTGAACACAAAACACATGGGACTTGACCTGGGTAGCGATACAATGGCATTCACCCAGGTCTTGGCAATACATCACACATTAACATACCCGGGTTAATATGCCTACGCGATCATCACAAGAACAATCAATCAAGTTGTACACAACACAGTTTTACTACTCATGTCTCATTTTAGCTTAAATGTTCAGACTTTTGTATCACTTATACCATTGTACAACTTATATATCACCAGTATCACCAGTGTTTATCTACATTATAAACCAAGCTTCACCAACATCATCACAGTCGATGCATCATCATAACATAATTCACTAGAATCATCAGTATCCACACCATTCCAATTCTCTCAGTCACATTGAATCGAAATTTCATTTCACTCCACACACCATTTGATGTTCACCCAATAGAATGTCCAAACAGGTCAGCAGGGCCATTTCACAGCATTCCAGGATCTGAATACCTGCAACCACCTTTTTGATCCAATTCTAAAAAAAACAAATTTTTATATAATCATTTGACTATTTCAGCACTGATGCAATGAAAGGTGAATTCAATCATTAAATATACATCGAGTTGCTTTACAAAAATAATAGCACAACAGTAGCTTCTGCAAGGCTACTGAGCAATGTATGTTTTCACGTTCTAAGAATAGGTATTACTTGACTGTATTTTAATTTACTAAAAAATTTACTTTCATATAACTGAATCACAGACAGTATTCGAAAATTTAATTTCGCACTAAGTGCCAATTGTACTGCGCTTTTGCTTTGGGAACAGTGAGCTCAGGGATGTAGTGAAGACGATGTCATTGTGGCTGCAGGTCAAATAGGGAGGGGGGATCACAAGAACATTGAAATAGCAGTTGTCTCTTTTAAAACAGTACTACTTTTGTGAATACGGGGCTGGGTGGAATACAGGGCTGGGTGGAATACAGGGTTGAATCTACTAGGGGGCTTCGGGGTAATGCTCCTCAGAGAAAATTGTGATCATTTTGTAGCCCTCAGAAAGCCAGGAAATACAGTAAAATATGCTATTTTACTCTAAATCTGGGGGTGACGTCGTCAGTCCATGCCAGGGTCCTCGTATCCTGGATATGAGGTTGGAAATACAAAAAAAATTCCATTTTTACATTGTGTTCTCGTAACTTTCGTGTTTGCCTGTCAAATTCTTATAATTTACCTAAAATTCAGTTCAATTCATTTCTAAAATTACCTAAAATTAAAAGTGTGAAAAGAATTGATAAATAGAATTGCTACTCAACTATTTCCATTTACAAAACCTGTCAACTATTAACAAATTATTATATAGTTGCATAATAGTTGCTAGAGTTTATGTTTCTCTAATTAAAGATAGAGCTAGAGGTGAGGGGAGCAAAATTTATGGTCTTGTTTTTCCTGTCAGGGGGGGGGGCTTTGAAAATTTTACTTGTCTTAAGAGGAGGGCAATGAAAAAATATTGTAACTGTAGAGTTTCTCCTCAGTCTCCCCCTGTACGATAAATAATGAGCAGTCCCTAAGTAGGCATATCCACCAATCAGTACATTGCCTTTGTAATGTTCTTCGCTTTCTTGTGTTTTTACCATGCATAAAACTTTAGAGACCTGCCAGATTATCGTTGCTATTTTGGCAAAGAATGCTTGCAAGAATTCCAGATTAGTATTCTCTGTTCCTAACTCACAACGCAGTATCTTGGGTACAAAGCCAAGTTGTTCAACACAATTTAAATAGTAGCGAATGACAACGGCACGATCATTGTTGGTTGAAGAAACCTGTGAGTAAAAAAATCCTCTGCGGTCTTGTTCTGTTGTGCTCTAGTTTCAAAATGCTTCCAGTCAAGTATATACGGACAAGGACATGTTTACAAATATACAGGGTGTATATACATACAAGTAAAATTTGTATAATTGTTTATTTAGCTCAGTTGGAAACCTAAGTAAGAGGCAAGAAATTATTGTAGATTTAGTGCAGAGTGGTCACAATGTGTATTTTGGAGGAATCGGTGGTTGTGGGAAAACCTTTGTTGCAAGTACCATAATTAAATATCTCAAGAGATGCAACGTGAAATTTTCATGTACATGTACAACAGGCTTTGCGTGTAGACAGTATGGGGAGTGGAGTGCAAGGCACAAACAATCCACTCATTCGCATGGATTGGACATTGTTGTGGCTCAAAGGAGGAGGTTATTAAGAAAAAATATTTTGAATAATATAGAATGTGTAAAGAGATGGAGAAGCATTGATGTTCTCTTAATAGACAAGATTTATATGCTAAGCCAGCGAACATTTGACATCATCCAGTATATGGCACAAAATATTCGAAATTCAGAGGTATATCGTTAGATATTTTAGTACACAAAGCCTCACCTCTTTCCAGATAATGCCTCTTTTTCTGGAAAGCGGTGTTATTTCTGGAGATCTGTTGCAATCTGTGGGTGTGTGCAGCTGTAAGCGATGGTGCTGCCTCCAATCGAAATTTCTTCGAACTGCATGCAGCTTTGGTTGGAGAAAACTACACTGTGGATGTCGTGCACCAAACCATCAACCTCTTCGCCCCCTCCAGGTACATCTGCTTTTTCTCACATTGCTCCACACCTCCTCAAGACGTCCAGAAATTGTCTGTTCAACTCTGGAATGGGAAAGCATACCAGGTTGATGTGGAATGGTAATTATATGATTTGGAAACATATATATGCTCTTTACCATGCATATTTGGAGCAAGGTTTACACCAGCTTCCAAAACTAACACCAGACCACTTCATTCTCAAAGATGAAAGTCAACTTGGCAGCTCAAGTATTGAGTAATACAATACAATGGCTCTGGCATTGCGACGTTTCTATGCCGATGGAGACGCAGAGGAAACAGCCCGATTCTGTGAGATGATTAACAAATTCTTTGACTGCCTCAATGTCCGATTAACCAGAGAGCATACCAGGAAGAGAAATTATCTCTTAGCTCCATATTCAATTCAAGTGTTGATGATGAACGTTTTGACTGGCTGCAGAACAAATTCTTAGAGTATCTCAAAGAATGGCTGACTGCAACTCAACAGCATCCTGGTGAATATTCAAAAGATTTCCCAACAAACCTATCATAGTTTGAAAACGACAGTCCATTCACTTATTGAAGTCACCAAGTTTTTACTCTTAGAGGGATTGGAATATGTGCTGCCAGAGAAATTCTGCCAAGACCCCCTCGAGGAATACTTCGGTCATCAGTGTGAAAGACGTGGGTATAGCGACAACCAAACTGTCCAAACTTTTGGCTACAATGACCTTACCATCACTGCTCCTGTTGTCCGAGGAAATGTACAAGGTTGGCATAAAGGGGAGTCATCAAAGTGTAAGTCTTCAAAGAAAAACAATAACTTGGTGTTTTCTTGAGGTATATATAACAGTAGACCCTTCCAGAAAGTACTTAGACTTGGATAGAGCCTCATTTTCGTGATTGAGGTCTTGGCTTTAGAGTGCTTCATCTCATTACTGATGAGACAATCATAGAAAGGTCTTCTATATTCCCCAAATATAACTGTCACATTTTGTAAATGTGTTACCTATAACAAGATAAAGTACACTAAACCCAATATCTTAATCACAAATACAAGATTCTATAGCTCTTCCGGAAAGTTTGTCTGAGGTTATATATATATTTATAATATAGCATTTGTAAATTCTGAACGCTGATTGGCTAAGAGCCGTGTTGATATATACAGGGTGTATCAAAAAAAGCGCAATCCTCTGCTGAAATGTAAATTGCTAAACAAATAATAGACGAAAACGTTAAAGTTTACATTCATTTTAAAGCGTAGCCATTCAGCTTTCTAACAGTGGGTTGTTTCTTAAATTTGACTCATTGGTTCGCGGGTAATAATACTTTACGTTATTGCGATTGGAGATTAAAAAAATTGAGATGGAATAACAAATCGTTCTCATGAAAATAACTGATTTTTTCATTAAAACAAAAAAATGTTGCATTTTATTAAATGGATTGTAACAATAAGTATAATTACGGCTGTTCTTCCACTATTTTTAACTCAGTTTGAAACTTCAAATGCGATATAATTTTGGCTTGGACCATCTAAGCTGACTGACATCAACTTGCTATAATTTCTGTTTACATTACATCGCAATTCGATGACACTCTGGCTCAGACACCAGAATGTTTTGACGTGATTTTTAGCAT